AAAAAAAAAAAAAAAAAAAAGAAAACGAAAGAAAACGAAAGAAAGGAAACCACCATCATGCTCATCATGCTCATCATCATCATCATCATCTTGATGGTTAAAGAAGATTGGAAAACGTTTTCCACGTCAGCCTTATCCTCTTCTCTACCATCCTCAACTCCACCCGTCTTTTAGTGACCTCACTTCAGTGACGACCCGTCCATCTTCGCCCTCTCGACTTCCCTTGCACGCCCTGCTTCGTCTGTATATTCTTTACCTCTCTCTCTCTCTCTCTCCCCCCTTTTACCGCCCTATCCTTTCTCCCCGCCGCTCCCTCCTTCTGTGTCTGCTGTGATTTCTGCTTTGACCTGCTCTCCACGTGTTTCCGTTCCGCGCGCGCATTTGCTCCCCTCTTATTTGCTTTGCTCACCTCTTTGTTGTCCCTTGTTTTTGACTGCCTGCTCCCCTCTCATTTGCTCATCGTATATGCCACATCGGTAACCTCCCCCCACCCCAGTTACCCAAAACCTTTAACCCCCTTACCCAAAAAAAACCCCAAACCTTATCCACAAGCTGTCCCTCCTCCCTGGCGAATGCCCCCTCTGTACAACCACTACGCTTCCTCTAAGAGCTTTCGCATCTTCTTTTTCTAGAGACATCGTGTTCTTCTCCCTCTTCCTCTCTTCTCCTCGTCTCCTACAGCTTCCTTTCTCTTCCTGCCTCTTCCTCCCTCTTCCTTCTCGCTTCCGCCCTCTTTTTTTCTGATCTATCCCCTCCTCATGAATCAAGATAGCGGATACTGCGAAGAAGAAGCAGAAGAAGAAGAAGAAGAAGAAGAAGAAGAAGAAGTAATAATAATAAGAAGAAACAAGACAAAGAAAGAAGAAGAAGAAGAAGAAGAAGAAGAAAAAGAAGTAATAATAATAAGAAGAAACAAGACAAAGAAAGAAGAAGAAGAAGAAGAAGAAGAAGAAGAAGAAGAAGAAGAAGAAGAAGAGAAGAAATAATAATAAGAAGAAACAAGACAAAGAAGAAGAAGAAGAAGAAGAAAAAGAAGTAATAATAATAAGAAGAAACAAGACAAAGAAAGAAGAAG